TGGCAATACCTTCTTCAGCCTCAAAGACAACACTTTTGCAATGATCTTATACAAGCTATTAACCAAGCTAATTGGCCTAAAATCCTTCGGGTGGGATGCATCTTTCTTTTTTGGAATTAAGGCTATAAATGTAGAGTTCACACTCGGATTGACAATTCCTCTCCTGAAAAACTCCTCAAACACCCGCAAAAGATCATCTTTCAAGATATCCTAATAGTCCTGATAAAAAGCCATTGTGAACCCATCCGGCCCTAGAGCTTTTGTTCTATCCATAGAAAACACAACCTCCTTGATCTCTTCTAAATTAAAGCTTCTTTCCAACCTTCTCCTGTTCCCCACCCCTACATCTGGCCAATCCAATCCTTATACCCTCACCCTTCTACTCACATGCCTTCTTAGAATAGATTTGAAGTGCTCCACACAGGCCCCGACAATCTCCTCTTGTTGTACTAACTCRACTCCATCTACTACCAATTTGGAGATAAAATTCTTCTTTCTCCTGCCATCTGCTGAAGAGTGGAAATACCTAGTGTTTCTGTCTCCCTCTTGCAACCATTTACATCGAGATTTTTGCCTCCAGCTAATTTCCTCCTTGTGCAGGCTGTCCTCTAACTGTCTTCTCAAATCTCTCCTGAGATCATTGTCTTCCTCTCCAAATTCTCCCATTTCTTCTTTAGAGTCAAGGCTTTCAATCTTATCCATCAGATCTCCCYTTCTTTCTTCTATCCTCCCAAACTCCACCAAATTCCACTCCTTGATTTTTGCTTTCAAGAATTGTAGTTTCTTATGGAATCTCATCCCCTCCCATTCCACCAGTGGGTTACACTCATACCACCACTCCCTCACTTTGTTAGTAAACCCTGGATGAAGTAACCACATATTTTTAAATCTAAAGGGGGTAGGACCTCCACACCTTTCCTCCTTACATAACACTATGGGCCAGTGATCCGAGGTCACCCTTGGGGGAGCTCTAGAAGCCAAGGTTCCCCAATGTTCTTCCCAATCCAAAGAGAACAGGAATCTATCCAGCTTAGAGATGGGTCTAGATTGGAGATTTGACCATGTAAATGTCTTATGGGCTAGGGGAATCTCTTTGAGCTCAAAGGCATCCACAAAACTGTTAAACTTCCTCATGCTTTTTGTCCCCCTCTGATTAACCTTATTGGATTCCTCCGAGAATCTGATCACATTGAAATCCCCACCCATGCACCAGGGCCCTTCCCACAACCCTCTAACATCAGCCAATTCCTCCCACAACTCCTTTCTCTCTCTATAGTCATTCGGTCCGTAAACATTTGTGAGCACCCACATATAATCATCCTCTTGCTGCTTAAACTTCATGGAAACCGAGTACTTTCCGATCAACTCCTCCAAACCTTCAACCACATCCCTCTTCCACATTGTTACAATCCCCCCGGAAGCACCCCACGAGTGAGATGCCACCCAGCTAATCCCCCTGGCTTTCCATACACTCCTTGCCCATTTGTTATTAAACTCCATTCTCTTAGACTCTTGCAACAACACAATGTCTGGGTCATACCGTCTTATTACCTCTTTTATTGTCGCTCTCTTCCTTGCACTCCCAATTCCCCTCACATTCCAACTAAGAATCTTCATTCCGCTTCTTTTTTAAACCCCTTGCCACCTACCCACTACTTTCCCCCTTTCCTTCTATCTCCTTTTACCCCGAGCTTCTTGTCTCCTTCTACATCTCTCTTCAATCTCTCTATTTCACTCAATCTCCTCTTCTTTGTTCTGATCTCCTTCCTCTTTTGTAAGCTTTCTTTCAACACATTCAAATCTTCCAACCTACAACCTAACTTCCCTACAAATTCTGCTATCATGTCTTCTCTCACCGAGTCCTCCACCCCTACCCTTCCTACAGAATCCCCTCCATCTCTGTCCACTTGCCCTTTCTTCCTCTCCTCTGGTCCCACCTCTGTTCTTTCCTCTTCATCCATCCTCCCTCTCCTGTTACCTCCCTCCTTCCCTGTTCTCTCCCCGTAATCCTCTCCATCTCTACCCTCATTCCTTTCCCTCCTCTCCACTAACCCC